ACTTCAATCAAATTCACCCTGTCACTTTTTCCTTTCATTCTCCCCAATCCTACTCTTTCCCCCCCACAACAGTCACCCTTTTCTATTCATGTCACTTTTAGGTATATACTCCACATATGAAAAAAATATGCCATATTTGTCTTTCTTGAATCTAGCTTATTTTGCTTAACATGATAATCTCCAATTCTATTTTTCTGTAAACACCCTAATTTCATTCTTTATTGCTGAGTAATACTTCACTGTGTATACATACCATATTTTCCTTTTCCATTTATCTGTTAATGGGCACCTAGACTGATTGTGAACAGGTCTACTGCAAATATGAGTGTGCAGCTATCTCTATAGCAAACTGACTTTCATTACTTTGGATATATGCCCGAGAGTAGTATAGCAGGTAGTTCTATTTGTAATTTTTTGAGAAACCTCCATACTGATTCCCAAGCTTTCCTTATTCTGTACCAACCCCAGCCATTTTCTCCATGGAGTCCTGGTTGTGTCCGTGGAGAATGGTATTCAGAAACCAAGATCTGAGCTCTCTGTGCTCCTCGTGTTGCTGAAATGTCATTGCTCCCAAACCCTCTCAGTGCATCAAATATGTACATATATACATGTACACACATTTATAAATTTATTTCTATCTCTACATCTATACACTGAAAAGCACAAATTCACACTAGTACCTCCTATTCCAATTCAATACTACACACCATTCATCCCAGCCCTCCCCTTTTGCATATTTGTACATCCCTTTCCCATCAAGGAGAAATCTGGCTCCCACAATCCTCAGCAAATCTACTTCTTGCTCAGCTTCCCTATGGAGCCAATATCCTGATCTCCACAGGGCCACTGCTCCTAGTCACAAGCCCTCCTCTGAAGCCCCAACTCCTATAGACTGCCTTCCCCACTGCTGCAGCCTCCTCCCCATGCAACCCCAATGTTGTTGTGCTGCCTTCCTCCCCAATTTACCTTTCACATGTTAAGACAGTTACCATCTCCCTCTGGGAATCCTTCCATTGCCACTCACTGAATTCATAAAAACAGTGAAGACTTGTGTGTTCATTTCAGTGTACTCAATTTTGTTCCTCAATGACAGTCACTTGTGGCAGAATAAGGTGTATGTGTGTGTGTTTCATTTCATTTCGTTTTGACACACCCCCAGGATTTAGGGCTGTAGTACATTTAGTCAGCTTTCTGTCTTTGTGAGTTCTGAATCCATGGATTCAACCAACTGTAGGTTGAAAATATTCAGAAAGTAATTGCATCTGTATGACTTTTTCCTTATCATTATTCTTTAAACAATAACTATATAGTATTTACATTATGTTAGGAATTATAAATAGTCTAAAGATGATTTAAAATATGCAGGAAGGTGTGGATAGGTTATTCGCAAGTATGATGCCATCTCATATAAGAGACTTGAGCACCTGCAGATTTGGGTACCTGTGGCTGGGGAGGTGGACAATATTCCTGGAACCAATTCCTCGCAGGCCCTGAGGGAAGATGGTATTATTTTAGTATTTATAATCATGAAGGAATACTTGCTCCTTGCCCTTAATTTTAAAAATAGATGACCAGCAGCACAGTGGGGGCACTTCTGAAGAGCTGATTGATTCGAGCCCCTCATGTTTCTTCTTGAAATCGAATCATTTACTACTTAACTTATCACAGCCTTCAATGATCTTTTCTCCCACTTGGTTCTCTTTCCCGTTGGAGACGTATCTTTGAAAGGGTCTGCCATTGATTTGAAGGCAAAGAGCCTACCAGTTTGCTTCACTTGTTCATTTATTCATTCTTCCATATATTCATTAGTCAAATATTTGTTGAAGGCCTACTATGTGCCTAGGGTAGCCAGGGTATATGGGTTCCTTCACCCAAGTCTCTACTTGACCTGAGGGGCATGTCTGGTGCTTCTTGTGCTTAGTTCTGCACAGGCCTCTACCGATGGCATGGCTGGCTCAGACTATCAGGCCACATGAAGGAGAAAACCCAAGGGAAATGAGAAGGAAGTGGGTCCTTGGCAACCAGCCACACCCCAGAGAGCAGGGGTGGAACCAACTCCTCAGAGAGCCACTTTCCCTTCTCCTCCCACAGAGCAATGAGTAACCCAGCAAAAACAGGGTGTTTACCAGCTGGGTTACCTCCTTTGTGGCTTCTGGGGACCTTCTGCAGAGGCAGGAGGGACGATATGGGGTATATACACTGCACACCTTCTTGTGGTTGCTGAAATCCAGCTTGGGGCTGTGCCCACCACCACCATCTTCCACTTCTTCCTTAAGAGAAGGTACCTGCTGAGCCAAGTAGCTCTGGAGCCACAGCCTAAGCGTGATGAAGCCATGGTGTTTGCTTAGTCGGTCATCTGTTCTCAGCCTAGGATCTGCATAGGGACAGAGAGCAGCTGCACTGTCACTTTGGTGGCTATGATGTTATCTGGGCCTAACGGTTTCCTCTGGGCAGGCACTTCCGCCCTCCTGTATGTGAAGCCAGAGACCTGTGCTGGGGTGGCCCCATGCTGAGCAGAAAGGAGCATCAGGTGGGGGAGGAAAGGAAAGGTGAGCTAGGCAAGGTGGCACACTCCTGTAAGCCCAGGGTGCTGAGGCAGGAGGATCTGGAGTTTGAAGCCAACCTGGGCTACGAAGTGAGGAGGGAGAGAGAGAGAGGGAGAGAGAGATTGACTCATGAGACAGGGTTGAAAGACATTTCATGGCAGACAATGCTCCATCACCAACTCAGTCCTATGCCTTTAAAAAGAAAGGAAGAACTAAGGGTGTAGCTCAAATGGTAGGGTGCTCATCCAGCAATCTCAAGGCCCTGAGTTCAATCCCCAGTACCACCAAAAAAAGGAGGAAAAAAGAAAGAAAAGATCACAAGTATATATTGCAGGAAGTTCCTTTCTTTGCTGTCAATTCTGCCCTAGCATCCTAACATTTGCATCTGTGAGGCTGGAATGAAACGGGCTCACCATTAATTACCAGGGGTGGGGGCCCCAGAATGCCTGTATCTAATGAAAAAAATATAGAACCCTTAGTCATGTGAACCTTGTACAAGAGGCTAAGCATTACTAAAATAGCTACTCCTTCAGAATGCCTACTACACTGTAAAGGCAAGGAAAATGATCAGAATGGTAAGTGATTTATCTAAGGAACACAGCTAGAAAGCAGCAGAGCTGGAATTCAGTCCTCCACTGGTCTACTTCTGAAATAAAGAGTCTTGTCCCTATGTGCTGACGAGTTAAATGAACTAGAGACCATGCTGGCACTAAGGGCTGCTAGTGTTTTAGCAAGTTAGGCCTTAGGCTGGGCAGGCTGACTTAAGCCTGTAATCCTATCTACTTGGGAGGCAGGGATTGGGAAGATCAGAGTTTGAGGCCATCCCAGGCAAAAAGTTCATGAGACCCCCATCTCAACCAATGGCTGGATGCAGTGGCGCAGGTCATCCCAGCTACTTGGTGAGGCACAAACAGGAGGATTGTAGCCCAGGACAGCCTGGGCATAAAGCGAGACCCTATCTCCAAAATAACCAAAGCAAAAAAGGCTGGGGGTGGGGATGGCTCAAGTGGTAGACCACCTGCTTAGCGAGTGCAAGACCCTGAGTTCAATCTTCAGTACACACCCCCCTCCCCCCAAAAAAGAAAAAGACAATCAGGTCTTAGAACTTCTGATAGGAAGGTAGCCATGTTTCTAAGCCTGGAACTCATAGCTCCAATGGAAGTCCCTGCATGGTGCTTCCCTGAGAAGCAGGGTCAGGGCAGGTCTTTGCAGCATGGGCAAGTTCTTGATTTGTTCCTTTACCAGTTTTTTCATGCCTCTCTTCACAGCACTCACTAGTGCCTGTCCTGCTGTCCACCTCTGTGATGGCTTTCCCTCTCTCTGGCTCAGCTAGGGACAGGGTTGGGAGTGGGGGCTCAGGAATGAGGGTACCTAAGATGCTGCAGAACTACACAGAAGCAGCCTTCCTAATCAATCCCCTTCCACTTGCAGGTCTCTGGAGGCATTTCCCCTCTATCTCTCTTCCCTGGGAAAAGGGATGCAGAAGGGGCACCTAGAGCTGGGGGCTAGTATGTAAACTGGTAGCAGACAATGACCTTGGCTCAGATTCCAGTCCCCACATCCCTCCCAGGCAGCCTCTTTGTAGCCCAAAGGCCTAGGAGAAGGTTACAGAGCCGAGTCCTATGGGAATCTGATATTTAGGATCTTGCCCTTTTACTATATTTAATAGGAATGGAGAAAAGGGCCTTTCAGCGTGTGGGAGCTGAAATTCCCACAACACCCAGTGCACGAATCAAAGCAGATTTGAGGAAAAGATTTACTGGGAAAACTTTGCTTGGATCCCTCGTTTTTCTCCTGATACACAGATAGAGGACAGACGGGTAGATTGATGGTGGTTTCCTGAAAATGGAATCCTGGAAGGTGGAGAGAGAAGATGTCACCTTGCAGAGACCAGGTCTGACAGCTCTTTCTTCTATGACAGTGAGAGTCCGCTATTTCTCCACGAAGAACCCCAGGAAAGCCAGGTACGACATTGGTGAGGTGGGGTGGAGGGGGAAGAGAGGGAGGAAGAGAGGAAGAGTGGGAAGAGGAGGAGGAAAAGGAAAAGGAGGAGGAGAAGGACGGGAGGTGGGGGGAGGAGGAGACATCAATGAAGTAAACGAAAAACAGAGTAAATAAAACAATGAAAGGACAATTGCAATTTGGGAGGCTGAAAGGAAAATAAAGAAGACATGTGAAAGGAGGGAGCTGTTGAGAAGAACTGAAACCGTGGCAGAGCCCAGGGTCCTGAGAAACTTCTCAAGAAAGGGGGCGCGGCGGCGGCTGCCCATCCCATGTTTGGGGAGATTAACGGAGTCGTGGCTCCCGCTCTGAGTCCTGCCCTGGGAGGGACAGTATCTGTTTAGATTTGTGTCTAAATTTAAACCCCGACCCGGCCTCCCTCCCTCTCCCCCCTCCCCTCCGCCCTCGGCGCCCCGTCCCTCCTCCTCCTTCCTCGTCCTGTGCGCAGGGCCCGCGGCCCGCCGGGGCAGTCCCGCACCGAGCGCAGCCAGGCGCGCGCACCGCCGCCCGCTCTCCCTGCGCCCGCCGGCAGCCCGGACTGGGAGCCGAGGGGACAGCGGGGATCTGGAGCTCCTGCCCGAGCCAGAGGGCGTGTCCGCCTCTGGAGGACAACCTAGAGGACATGGAGGTAAAGGATCCCGGCCGGGATGGCGCGGCCAGGGCAGCCAGCAGGGTCCTGGGCGATCCCTTTCCCAGGCAGCGACCCCTGCTTGCAACAGGGAACATGCGGCTCTGCGCGGCTGCCAAGAAGGGCAAATGCCTGTCTGCTGCAGCTCAGACGCCTCCTTGGCCAACTCCGGAGGATCGTCGGGTGGTGGCACCTAGGAGACCCCTCTGGGCAGGCAAGCGGTTGGCAGGGAAAGACCTGAAGGGAGAGGAGGAAGCCTTTTCTAGGGATTTGGGTATTTTCAGTTGTGCGTATACATGCTTTAAAAAAAAAAGTGCAACTAAGGTTCATAAATGGGTAAATGTGTGAGGAAAAAAAGAAAAAGTCAAGAAAGCAGGGGCCCCTGACTCTGAAGAGACGGGTGCTGAAAGGGAAACAACTGGTAGTGCTAGGTTTGAGACTTCGTGGCTGGTCTGGGCTTCCCTTTTTGCTTGCAGAGTGGCCTTTTAGGAAGTCCAGTTGTCCTCTTGCTTCTTGGGCCTGTCACATCTTCTTTCATAACTTTCTGAAAAGCTCCCCTCACTGGGCAGTCGAATGACTTTATTTTTGATGAAACTTGACGCTCCTTCTGAGAGAGAGTGTGTGCATTGGGGTGTGCTGGCCATGTCTGAGGGGTGTGCAGTAGTGAGGCCCACAAACCTCTCTGTCTTCTAGGAGGAGGCTGGGGGACTTCCCTGTACTGTTCCAACCTTAGTAGTTCCAAGGCAATCACCTTCCATCGGTGGAGTGGCTGCGGGACTCTCCCATATCCCTCCCTGCCCCACATCTGGAGACTTGCATAGATTTCTCACTGGAAACTGAGACCTGATATTTCATCTTAAATCAACTTCAGCAGGACCCAGGGCTTTGGAAAAGAGAAAGGGAGGAGGTGTAAATGTCAGTTTTTAAGGTGATTCCCACTCCTGTTCAAAAGGAAACAGTACACACACACACACACACACACACACACACATGCCTCCCCACCCCGCCCCGCTCCAAGCTGTGGTTTGCAGCAATCAGAATTCACAGTAACTACCAGCTCTTCCCTGTGTTCTGGTGTCTCTGATGAGCTAGACTCGTGGCTGGTCTTCACCATAGGATTCACATAGGATTGTCCTGCACAGTCAGCTCATCCAGCTGTCCCTAAGGAACAGGGATCACCTACCAGGAGATTTCAGGGAGAAGGTGGGACCGTTGGGTCTGCTGGGGTCTGAAATGGACCTCCTGTAGACACATTTGCAAGGCAGGAAAACTGGGCAGATTGGGGCTGCCTGGGAGATCCACAAAGCAAATCTCAGCGGGTGGCTTCCCAAGTCTACTCAAAGATCCTGAAGCTCAAAGCAAGAGCACTCTGGCAGCTGGCTCCTGCTGCCGGGCAGATGAGGGAGATGGCCCAGGGGACACCACACTTGTCGGGCTAGGAGAAGCTGCTGTAGATGGAGGTTCCATCCTCAAGGAGAGTACAGGGCGCTTAGGGCCCAGGCTGGGGGCTCAGCATGTTTATGCATGTTTATAGCTTGTCTAATCTCTTGCAGATATGGACTGGACATATGAGAAAAGTGAAATTTAGGCTTTATTAAAGCAGGTGGTGTGGGAGAACCCAGTGCAAGTTTCAATTTTGTTCTAAGGAAACACAGAGGGGCTCCTTCCACAGAGACAACTTTTTCTTCCCTCTGATGAGGAAGGAACAGTGTGTGGCCGAGGCCCTGAAACGATCAGCCCAGCAACTTCCTGTGTGGCTTGGGATGTCGGAGCATGTAAAGAGAAGGTCCTCCATCTACCAGCGGATATGTGTAGTAACTGAGGAGGGATTCTGTTAAACTATACAAATCTCTGTGCTGAGGGCTGGGAGGCACCCAGTGTGGGGTAACTCAGCTAGCCAGGACATCTGTCAGCTCAGCTGTGTCTTCCCTATGACATGGACTTGCTGGCTGGGACTGACTGTTTCTGTGTCAAAACCACCTGTGGGGGGTGGGGAGGGAAGCAAAAAACCCCACTGCAACTGCCTAGTGCTGGTGAAGGAAGTGAAGAGGAAACTGAGGGGCCGGGGAAGTGACGATTCTCAGCCAGGAAGTGAACTTGTTATGATACATAGGGTGGGTGTGGGGATTCTTGAAAATATCAGTGTGAAACCCTCTTTTGAAAGGTGAAACCCACTTATGAGACATGAAGAAAAATTTGAAAAGATACGAATTACATTTTTTTCCAGTATTAAGAATTCAAACCAGACCAGCAAGACTTACTCCACATTCTTACTCTAAAGCCCACTTACCTGCTGGACATATTTGGGAAATCTTTTTTTTTTTTTTAAGTCATTGTTAGCATTGTCAGCAACATCAATTATACCTCAGTCTGCAGTAAGGTAAAGATGCTGTCTGATCCCTGCATTTTAAATGCCCCCAATCCAATAGAAGAAATGAAACTATATCCTGTCATGTATGTAATTTTCGAACACATGTGCTAAATGAATGACTGCTACCTACCATGAGGTCTACAGAAGTTCAGAGTAGGTGAGACTTAGAAATTTTGAAAGGAAGGTGCTAATAAGGAAAATGGGTGCAAGGAGAATGTGCCAGCTTTGTTCAGTGATGTAAGACAATAGGCTAGAGAGAAAAACAGGGAAGCAGAAAGAAGAAAAATGAAGGTATAAGATAAAGCCACAGGACCACTGAATGCTGTAGATGCTAGCCACACGGGTACATGGGAGCTGAAATCCAAGCCCCCTGGAGGAAGAAGGAGTTACTTTTTCTTCACATAAAGTCTCCTTGCCTAGCTTGGCCCCAGTGGGTGCCTTTTTAAAATTCATACAGACACCATCTGCAGTCCACAAGACGAAGGCCAGCTTGTGTGTGTCCCTGGATTCTGCTCCATGGACAGTAGGAAACTCTGAGAGGTCTTGTGTAAGATAGTGTCCATGCTGTAGCAGGGGTGACATGACAGAAGTGCAGTTCATGGAGTGAGCAAGGCAGTCCAGTTAGAGAGCCCTTTTAGGAGTCAGATATAGGGGTGAAGTCAGATGTTGTCTGACTTCAAGAGACAATAGGAATGGAAAACATGGAAAAGAGTAAAGACTGTGTGCTGACAGGGAAAGCAGAAACAATTTCTGGGTTTGAGGTCACCAGGGTACCCCAGAGAGAAGTTCTTGGGCTGAAGATGCAGCTCAGTGGCTAAGCCCTTGCCTAGCATGTGTGAGGTCCTGGGTTTGATCCCCAACAGTGAGAGAGAGAGAGAGAGAAAGAGAAAGAGAGAGAGAGAGAGTAGGGACTGGGAGGGAGAGACAGAAAGAGCTCTGTAAGAGGGAGGAGCTATCTAACTGGTTTCCAGGTCTCCAGAGGTTAGGACAATACCTAGCATAGAATCCCAATTTCCCAATAAAAATTTCGCTTGATAAATTAGCAGAAACAGGGAACTCCTCCCATCTCAGTCTGCAGCTATGGAAGCCTTCCCAGATGCCCTCAGACTCTACACTGCTCTCTGTTCAACTACTATTGGAGAACCAGATAGAATCATGACTACCAACCTACCCTGGTGTGGGGAGGGGCCATAGCTTATATAGCTAGGCCCCAATGAAGGGCTTAGGTTGAATTTGCAAATACATTTTGAGATGGGAGAAAGATCAGATAATTTTATTCAGATTTTGTTTTTTTGTAGCACAGGGTTTGAACTCAGAACCTCATACTTGTTAGGTAGGCATTCTTACAACTCAAACCACTGTACTAGCCCTTTTTGTGATGAGTTTTTTCGAGATAGGGTCTAACTGTTTACCTGGCTGGCTTCAAACCTTGATCCTCCTGGATTTCTGCCTCCTAAGTAGCTGGGATTACAGGCGTGAGCCACTGGTGTCCAGCGTTCAAATTATTTTTAAAAGCAAGATTTAGATAGGTTGGTTTTGGTTATTCTGGGCAGAAAGTTCCAGCACTCCATGAGAAATGTAAACCTCTTGCAATCTAAAAGTGATTCTTCTCTAGAAAAGATACCAGGTGACGGAAATGGATATAAACCCAGAAGACAGAGGTGTATAGGAAAGAAAGAGCTGGAGATTTAGGACATTGAATTTAAAATTCTTAAATACAAATTGGTAGGAACTACCAAGTAACCTGAGGGTGCTTGAAAAAAAAATTTTAATTTTCACTAATTAAATCCTTCATTTCTTCAATTGAATAGTAGGTAGCATGAAAATTAAATTTATTTTTCCACAACAATGTGTCTACATTTGGTTGAACAAATGAAGGATTTAGTCAGTGAAAATTAAATCATTGCCACTAAACAAATCATGAATTTCTAGATAGAGACCATAAATGAGCCCTTTTCCCTGAGGTAATTCCAAATCCTTCCCAGATACTGTCATTCATCCACTTATTCAATATTTATTGAGCACTTAGAACGTGCCAGATCTTATGTTTAAATTTTACTTTCAAAATGGGACTCTTGTGTCTTTTCATCCTCACAGATTGCAGTAGTAGTAATGACAAGAAGGTATGTATGTATGGGTACATACTAGTAAATAGAGTGTTTATTTTGTAACCTGTGCTTTCATTCATGTCTTTTTACCTTATTAAACATTATCTGCCTTTTTTTTTTAATTGCTAGAAAAGAGGTGACTCCAACTCTTATTAAAAAAATCATTTTGAGATGTCTCTGTGAGGCATTTCTAGAACCACCAAACAGCCCTGGCTGGTTTTGACCTACCCTTTCTCTGAGCCCTAGGTCTGCTATTTGGAGCTGGTGGGTCATAGTTAGGGACTGCATCATCTCTGGAAGGTGGAGTTTGGGTCAGTGGACTTATAGACATGCCCACATTCCTCTCTGGCTCCCATGTGCTCTGCGGGACCCTTGTAGTAACACTGGCTCCACTTAGCAGATATCTTCCATTTGTTGGGCTCCAGGATAGGAGGAGTTTTGGGTAGTCGCACTGAAAGGGCCCCGGGCCCTGTCACAGGAGGGGTGAGCATGCATTCCTGGAGTGGAGTCAGGTTTCACAG